AAGCTAAACCCTGAGTTGACTTGTCCCACGCAGCTAGAGATGCTCCGGACAGAATTATCTCGGCAATACTAACTCGCTTGCGTTCACCCTCTGTCACGTCCTTGACTTTAGTGGTATACGTGTGACTCAAGCCGAACACGGCTACAACAACCTTTGTTATGACTTTTGCATATTCTGTCCGTGCTATCCCCTGTAGTCTTTCGGTGGGAGCTCTAATTGATGCCGCGAACTCCAAAGTCTGGCCAACCGTCAAATGTGAGAAGTGTTTGTCGGTTCCGTAGTTGTAAAGAATTGCTCTCTTGACATCCTCCGGTGTCTGCTGGTGTGGAATGCCATGGTAACGGAAGACCGATTCAGGATCTAGCTTCAGGCCATCAAGCTTCCCACACATTGTTTTTGCGACCGTACTGCTCCCAGCTCCAGGTCGTCCTAAGATAAGTAGCAGTTCCCCATTGCTTATGACGCCGTTTAGGTTCCGTACGATACTCTTGGAGGATTTCTGGCTCAGACTGAATGTATCTCGCGGCCGCAGTAGGGCAGAGAAGACACCCAGAGCCGTCAATTTACCAGCCTCGGGCCTAAATCCTAGAACATGCAGGTTTTGAAATGTCGTTGCCGATAGGTCGTTATGTATGCCTGGGTTAAGCATGCACATCACCTTTCTAAGCCACCTGTATAAACAGAAATCTCGGCTCTCTGGGTTAAGATACGGCTCGCCAGGAGAGACATTAGTCAGTTGACTGACACGAGCAACAACTCGATCATTTGCAAGCTTGGTAAGATGTAATTTTTCAGTCATATCCAGGGCAGCGCGAGTCTTCGTACATCTTAAGGTCTTGCTATTCCTTTCGTCTCCCATTGGGGATTGTTTGCGTGTTAGAGATCCAGCTTCGGATGTCGAATTTCCCTCATCAACCGCAATGCTGTCATGATGGTTTACGTCGCATAGGACCTCTTTCTCTTCTACTGTGTGTACCACTTCCGAAGACGAAGCGGGCGCGGTATGGAATAGAAAATGGTCTCCTTCATCAGCTTTTCCTGAAGCCTCATCTTCCTCCGTTACCCCTTGGTCAGCCACTATCGCAGGGCTAATAGACACACTTTGGTCCATTTGCCTAGCGGTTGCATAGGTATCGTCTTCTTTGGCTTCTCTAGAGTCGGTTGTCTCACTTTCCATCTCTTGTTCCTTCACTGCGGGTGCGATGGTTAGTGGGGACGACGTAGGTTCCGCGTGTGATATGAGAAAGGTCCCTTTGTTTCTTTCGCTTCTTTGAGTTGTTCCATTCATCATGTTGATTCTTGTTTCCCAGAAAGCAAGATCCGGTGTCACAGTCTGAGGGGGGGACTTATCAACGTCGGCTTCGGCCCCTACGTTCTCAAGGGATTCTGTAATAATCAATTCCGATGAAGCGGTCTGTGCATGAACTATCGTGTCGTTGTGGCCGTCCGTATGGTTCGTTGCGCCATTGCGGTCCTCCAATTCATTGGTCTCTATCCTAGACTCGGTATGTGATTGTATAGTGCTCTGGTTGGATGGTATGGTCCCCTGTGCTTGAGGAATTTCCCGGGCGAACCGTGACGTGGACAGGAGCCCCGAGGACGTATCCTGCCCTTGAGTTGACGTTTCTTGCAAATGTCCCTCATGGATTTGCGCTTCAGCAGCCCCCTCCCTTTCAGCAACTCTGTATTCTGATGCTGCGTTTGGGTTTCCCAAATGCATATTGGCAGACGAAATAGAACTGTCTAGCATCTCAAAGTGCATAGCTGCAGCATTCTCTTGAGAGGTATCCTGCCTCTGAGTTGACGTTGCTTCCGCATATTCTTCATAGATTTGCGCTTCAGTAACCGCCTCCCTTTGAGTGAATCCCGAGGCCGATGTAGCATTCGAGAGCGAGTGCTGGGGGTTAGAGAAAGAGATGTTTCTTTCCATCATCTCAGACTGCATTACTTCAGCATTCTGAAAGGACGCATTATCCACTTGAGATATAACTGCCGTGCCTTCCGCATATCCACTATAGGTTCGCACTTCAGAAGCCACCTCCTGGTTAGCGACCCTCGATGTCGATGTAGCATCCAAGAACCCCAACTGGGTGTTGTCGGAAAAGATGCTTCTTTCTGCCATCCGAGACTGCAGTGCTCCAGCATGTTCTTGAAAGAGGCCATGCCCTTCCGAGATCATAGGCAATCCTTCAATATTTCCACTAGATATTCGCGCTTCGGAAGTCACGTCCCTCTCAGTGGCCCTCGGGACCGATGTAGCATTCGAGAAACCAAACTGCATATTGGAGGAAGAGATGTTTCTTTCTACTATCTCGGACTGCCTTGCTTCAGCATGCCCTTCAACAGCCCTAAAAGTAGGGAGGAAGTGAGGAGACGGTGAATCTGTTTGAAAGAATTGAAATTGGCTCCTAATACCGTCACCAGTCGTAATGAATTCGTGGACGGCCTCGTCTTCGACAGCGTGTGATCTGGATGAGTATTCAGAACTCGATCGCACATGCGCGAGATTTAACTCTCTGAAAGTGTCCTCGCTGAAATTGCCGCTTCTGAAGACATCTTCCTCGCCCATCAATCGAGAACTAGAAAAGAATGTTGAAGAAGCGGACCACCCTTGGGCCGAGGGAGGGTCTCTCTCCAGCCCATCCCTGTGGGTATTCGATTCGTTCTCGTCTCTGTCGGCCATGGTGTATTCATATAACCATCATTTGTCTCTGCAATGATGATGGTGATCTGATACTTCGGCCAGCGATCGGATTAATCCAGAACACGGAAGGATAACAATCATCGAAGAGTCGCAAAGTGGTCGGTCCCAAACAGCTGGGGTAGAAAAGTGAACTGCTAGCCAAGACAAAACTGGGAGAATGAACTCCGGGACTCTGTCCACCCTTTCAGAGAGTCTCTGCGCAGATCGGGAGCCATTTTGTCCGTGGTGCAGCTCAACAAACCCATTTCAGCTGACACTCGCATAAGTCTATCGATGGACCAAAGATTAGTCTTCGGAAGAAAGAAGCAAACAAGCCATCATCAGATCCTCAGAGGTGCAGGGCCTCTGTGGTACCCACTGATCTACAAGGCAGGCTCGGGATTTTGTATGTGGACGAATAGCTAGTCCGGCACCCGGGGACGATAGTGATCCCGGCCAGATGAATAGATTAGACATGATTTCTTTGGATGGACGTAGTGTACAGTTGATAATTGTGGCGACGATTTGGTCTTGATCCACAGCTTGATGCTTCGTTCATGTTTTGGGTTATAAAGCAGACAGATTGCGAGGATAGAAGTGAGAGACTGCTTTCATGGCTTCAGCTGAAATAACCCGTGGATCCAGGTGATCCCGGCAGCTAGCTCCGCCGGCTAGTGACTACCATACGGCTCGTGCTGCCCGGCGTTGATCATCCCGGACGGCCCAATGGTTGTTTAGTACTGAGAGTTATGATCAAGCTCGAGGCAATGCTACTAGTAAAAACAGAAAGGCAGAAAAGTATTTTTATTGTACTTCTATTTAAGTGATATGGAACAGGACGCGCGTATGCGCGTTGTGACCATGTGACCTCCCATACTTATGGTATCGCTCCAACACGGCCTTCCCGGCGAAGAAGCTTCCGAGGGGCGTTTTTGAAGTCGTAGTCTTTTCCTAGATAGGCAACTTTGGGTATAACAAGAATCCTTTTCAGGATGTGGAGCAGCGGAGGTGCCGGTAGCGAGACATCTTTAGCAGGTGCTTCATGTCACAGATCACCTCTGGCTTTGTTCGATCGCGTTCCTGCAAAGAGTGAAGAAATCATTGTCTGTATAGGTGCTTCCCGCGTCGGCAGGCATGGTTTGTTCTATCATTGCCACCCAGGTAGGAATGTCATGAAGGATCTCTCTGAGCATCAAGAGTGAAGCAGTAAACGGAGGTAGGCCGCACTGGAGTTGCTTGGCGAGTATGTAGATGTTTTTGAAATTTTCAATGTACTGCCCCGCAGTTGAATAATCGGCACGCGTCATTCTGACTAGTTTGTACGCGACGTTCTGACATCTTACGATGCCGTGCCCTAGTACAATCCTTCTTATCACTTTGTATGCTTCATCGGCAAAATCCTTGTCGTCGACAGATGACACAAACTCTTCCATAACTTCACCAGAAAGCTGCCTAGTCAGCCATATCTGCAGGCGTTTTGAGCAGCTATGCCATCTGATGTAGTTCTTATGGTTTTCTTCCGGACGTGAAAGGTCACGGTCGACAAGGTCCTGCAAGCCAAGGTTTTCAAGTACCAGTCGGACCTGAAACTCCCACTTTGGAAAGTCGGACCATCCTCTCAGTAGGAATGGCAAGCCGGGAATAGTATCAGGTAGATCATCGGGTATTCTGTCCGCTTGCGTGGTTCCCTTTGGAGGAGTAAGCGATAAATCCCTGAAGAAGATCGCGCGTCCCTGCTGGGAAGGCATTTCGATGTAGGTTTACTACTTAGAGCGCTGGAAGCGGGGAGTAGATTGCGGATGGTAGTTTCTTAGCACCTCTGAATGTTCGTATTGGGTAAAAACTGGTCAACACGAACAATGGCGCGTTCCCATTCACTACCTTTGTTTCGCTGGTATTAGTCCCCCCGCCTTGTTCGGCGTCGAAATTCGTATTTTGCGGGTCTGGAAAGCTTCACAGCGTAGAGTCTTGGCTGATACCCTCTCAAGATGATGCCCAGGGACTGATTTAGTATGTATGGTTTAAGAATGGTGATGTTGTTAATGTCGAGGTCAAGTAGGCAGCAGAGGTGGCGAAAACTTTGGTGGGGTCAAGCTACAGTGAATGTCTGGATCTTGACAGTATATCCCATTTCATTCATAAATTTACATTATTCTATGTATTGATCCCCAGTGTAGACATGATAGTAAAAGCTCCAGCAGTTGCTTAGATACCACAGGACTACACAAACAGGCAGTATATGCCATCACAACGGCAGCACCTACTTTCCAAGTTTTGTAGGGCCATGGAATGACCATTGTTGCAATTAATCAACCATCTAGAAGAAAATATCCCAGACCATGTGCGATTTTGCTCGGAGTATGTCCACCTCTGCTGCACCTTCGCTCAAGGAAGGGATATCTTCCACGTATTGTTTTACCTCTGCTCTATCATTCGCTTTGAGACGGAGAACCTGTCAAATTTCACCAGATAGCCCTTTTCTTGTTACAGCACCGCAGTCCCGATAAACTTACCTTGCCTTGCTGTGGGTGGACCACATCAAACACCTCTTCCGCTATCCCACCTATTCCAGAAAGTCGTAAGCCATAGTGGACCAGAAAGGAAAAGACATACTCCTACTCGCAAAGTTCCAGTTACATACCGTTCCAACGCCTGACACAGTGCAATGCATCTCTCTCCCCAAACATCGCCTCATATGATGATGCATCTCTTGCGACGATAACAGCATACCATGTCACACACGGGTCCGTGGCAAAAGGCTGCAGACGTTGCACTGGCTCACAGTGCAGATACTTTCCTTCTTGGTGGAAGAGCTTAGACACCGAAGTGAAATTTCCAATGGGGACGACCTTGGCGTCTGAAAACCCATGCTTGATCCACGGCACCTCTTGTTTAATGGACTCAGCCTGTCTGGACTCTCAATGCCTCGCCAATGCACGACCGCTCCGTTGACCTTGTTTTCTTCGTCGGTTATGGAGGGGAAGAATCGAGTGGTCTCTCCGCTATGGGTTGAAGCCCAGGCAAATTCGGACTCTTTGCGAAGTAAGGCAAGTGGGGCGTCGTCAAGGGTCTTCCCTTCTTTAAAGATGTCATAAAATAGGTAGTCCATACTGGCAGGGTGTACAATGTTGGAGTGACGAAGGACTGGGGTTCTAAAACGGGAATAAAGGACACGAGAGTTAGAGATACCTTGATCGCGGACTATTTAGTATGTTACTTTGCCTTTTGTCAGATGGAAGTTATGTTGATATACACCTGTACTACATCCCCCGCCGCGCTCCCAACGGAATGCGATCAGAACTGGGAAGCCGGTGGGGGATCGGCAACTAGGTTTATGCTAAGCTGGCGGGGATAGATGTGTCCTGAAAGCCTAATGGTAGATTCCAAGAATATTTCTAACATCTGAAGTTATAGATCCCGACAGGGCCGAGGGGGGCCGATGGGGAAACGGCGATCATGCAGCAAGCCATCCAGAGCAGACCGTAGGTGTCAATGCGCCGATTACAGAACTCGCTGATCTTGATCTTACTAGAGCAAGTAGACTTCTTGAGAGATTTTGCATAACCCACTCTGAGAGTCAGTCCGGCATGTAGAGACGAAATGGAACTGCATACATAAATTTTTGAGTTGCCCATTCGATTTGGCTCCAAACCAGAAACATCCCCTACATCAAGATGCACAATGGCCCTAGTTCTCCCAATGACCCAAAGGTATTCCTCACGTACCATATACAGACCCTCTTACATCAAACAATCTGAGTACTAAAAAGCACTAGTGTTGGAGCACCCAACTCCGCTGCGCCATCCTGATGAACATTTGCTTCTATGTCTTCATCGGAAACCTACACGCGGCAGGCCTCTCCACAGGTTTTGCTTCATTGGCCCAGGTCTTCCACGTCGGATTCGACATGCTTACTGGCCTTGTCGCCTGGCCTGTACTCGCACTCGGAATTTCCAACCTCTTTTGGATGCCGACAGCAATGTGCATCGGTAAGCGGCCAGTGATCTTGATCTCCATGTTAGTCTTCCTAGCCGGATGCACATGGAGTATGAAAGCAAATAGCTTCAGATCCCTACTAGCCTCCAGAATCGTGGCTTCATTTGGTGCGTAGAACCCATCATCGCTACTATCCCGTGAGCTCCCTTCATTGGTGATCTAGGGGCTGGGTCTATCGAGGCTCTTGGACCGTCTATTATCGCTGGTAAGTGAGTACAACTTGCATGATCTCTAGTCAAACGACCTGTTGTTTATGATTCGTTGCATGGTATAGATCTCTTCTCGGAGCGGTATTTTGCAACCGCCATGGCTCTCTTCGCCTTGTCGCTTTGCGCTGGATCTCAAGTCGGCCCTATGATTGCAGGGTTTGTTATCGGTGACAAGGGCTGGAGATGGTTTTTCATTGTTTGCGCGATCCTCGGTGCAGTCAATTTCTTGACTTCGGTTTTCTTCTTGCCTGAAACAACCTTCCGGCGTCGCTTTGCCGAAGATAGGAATGGCAATGCCGCTGAAGTCGAAAAGAAGGTGGAACAAACTGTCGAGCAGAGAGAGAACGAACCTTCTCCAAGGAATTACTGGAAGGATCTAATCACATTTAGAGATCGTGGTCTCGAGCCTGAAGGACTGAAATGCTGGCCTGGGCAATTTTCCCTCCCGTTTCGGTTCCTTTGTGTGCCGATTGCTTTATTTGCGACGATCGCCTATGGCATTTTCCTTTCGGGGTAATTTATACTCTTTTTCTGTTCGCAAATCATTCAGTCTTTCTGCTTATACAATTGACCATTCCAGCTGTATCCACTACTTAACACACTACTCTTTATACTATACGAATCAACTAACAAGAACCATCCTAGAATCGTCCTCATCTCCGCAATCATCCCCCAATTCCTCTCAGCACCACCGTACCATCTCTCCTCCTCAGCAATCGGGGTGTATACACTCTCCTCCTTCCTCGGCATCGTAATAGGCTATCCCATCGCCGGTCCCCTGACCGACCTCCTCTCCAGATTGGTCGCCACTCACAGAAGAAACACGACCACCACTATCAACAACACCCACCACCCAAAAGACCGCATGCCCGCACTCATCGTCCCCTTCCTGATCGCACCGCCAGGCTTGGTCCTCTTCGCGTACGTAATCGCAAGAGAGAAATCATTATACGTCTCTGCCACCGGATACGCCATGCAAGCAGCAGCTCTTGTCTTCGTTCCATCAGTCACCATGTCTTATATCATGGATGTGTATCCGCAGTCCGGAAGCGAGGCCATGGTGCTCATCAATGCGGGTAAAAATGTCGTTGCGTTCGGAGTGACGGTCTCGGGTCCTGGGTGGGTGGGACGTGAGGGCATTGTCAGGGTTTTTTGGGAGTTGGCTGCTGTGCAGTGGGTGGTTTTGGCGTTGGTGGTGCCGTTGTATGTTTTTGATACTGGGGTGAGGAGGTTTTGCGGGGCGGTTTGTTTAGGATTGCTTGTTGGCTGTGGTTTTTATTTCTTTTTCTTTTTCTTCTTTTTCATTATTATTATTAAGTTGGCGTTGGGGTTAAGTTTTGCGTGGTATAGGATTTACTCGGGTTTTGTCTAATCTCAATCAAGGTATGGTGTTTGGCAAAGCCAGTATCGTGGATAATTTACCCCCATTACACAAGCCAGTCACATTCTCTGTTGAATGGATTTTGGCGCAAGACGCAGCTCAGCTGCGGGGCTAGTTCAAGAATTAGGAGGTGGGTTTACTTGTTTACTTCCCCTGTGATTGAGTGCCACATCCTCCAAGTATCTGCAAGACATACTCGCAACGTGGTCTGGTCTGGCCCCCATACGCCCCGTATGACTGTTGATCTTGCTTGGAGTCAGTATGCATCTCGTCTAGTAGGTTCGGAGTCTAGGAATTGAGTATTATTTCAAGCTTTTAGGGAGAATATCAGTCGGGAGAAGTGCGGCTGAGCCCGCTCATGTGCCAGCCATGGTGGTGGGGTCTTGGTCGGTTAGTATGTAAATCGTAGTTCTAGAAAGCTGAGAGCAGGATCTTCCAGTGGCTGCTGGGGAAGTTATTTCTCCGGTGAACTGTCTAGCTTGTGTTGTCTGGATCGTGAAGTCGGAACTATTGTTGCTGTCAATAGGCTCGAATGAGACGCGCGTTGGAGAAATACAAGAAATCGTGGATGGTCACCGGGGAATATATCCGCGAAGCCAATTGCCTGGTATTTGCTCAGGAGTTCTTACATATACTCTCATTGTTGGTGAATCGTATGCTAAGCACACTCGGTATGTTCGAAAAGGCGATCTCATGATCGTTCCTGATATTGACGGCCGTGCTTGCTTGGTCTGTTGCCCGAGTATCCGAGACAGAGGACGATGAGAAAGGAAGTCCAAATGAAGTGAAATGACATCATCGCGCATTCAAGCCTAGCTTTGGCCGCCACGGCTTAGCTTGAATGTACCTATAGTACGTTAGTGTCTGGATGGTCGATTTGGTGGCTCATCCTTGGCTAGTGTGCGCTGATGATCTGCCACGGTACTACCCAAGGTAGAAAGGTGTATTGCATGAGCAGGTTGCGGTAGGAATATTGGTATGAGTAGCTGGTGCGCTAAGATATATTGGCGAAATCACAAGCAGTACGCATATGCTTGGTTGTAACGAGTTGGGTGGCCTGTGTACGAACCTTGGGCTGTGCACAATACCCCGGATTCAAGGTCACTAGTATGCGGCGTCGCCTGAAATCCACGAGGGAGGTCTTCGGGACGCAAGCATATCCTCGGTTGCTCTGGATGCTTACATCCAACTCGGAATCCATTTAGTCATGAATCTCCAGTTTGACTCACAGGTTTCATTTGTGAGGGGAACAAAAATCCCGCGCTGTCGAGCCAAGACCACCAGCCTGATCCAAGCGCTGAAGCACACGCCAAAGAACTCAATCCGTTTAGTAGCCCCACCAATTGTCTCTACTTTGTGATCGTTGGGGAAATATCCGACACGCAAACAAAACCAACTATCTCAGAATGGTAGGAAATCAAATATTGGTCCTGGAAACGCCCGAATGTTTTCCGAGCCACGTAGATTCATCACTCCGCATTCCAATCAGAGCGAGTAACAGTAATATGTTCGACGACCAGTAGCTCATAGCAGAGTTCCCTCCTTGGTACCAATATGTTTGCGTAGTGGATGTTCTTGAAACAAAAGCTATAGCGGATGTAGTGGTACAATTCTTCCGTGCATATCTACCCAGTAGTTTATCCAGGTTCCAGCTGACTGGGATCGATCAGTCACCTTTGGTGTTACATGACTGCCCTATTTTCGGGAATCAGGTTTCGCATTCCAGAAATCATGATGGGTATGTCAGGTAAGCTGACCATGTCTGTCAGATGAGCGCCAAAGATATCTTAGATTCTAGTAATCTGCCATGTGAATTGACGCGGGTGTCAGAACACCACGAGGTGATATACTATCGACCAAGAAAGGAAAGAACCAAGGCGCTGCTATGCCGGTCCACGAATAAGGCAAGGTAAGCGACGAGTGAGCACTGGGAAGATGCAGAGATTGGTACTCCGTAAACGAGATGCATTGGGCGATTCACGATGCACATGAGGTAGGGGAATTCCTGCCCATGGGATTGTGCGCCTCTCCAGCCCGATGAGAAACGCGGGATGTCCAGAATTGGTAAGCCGCAGAGGAACCTGGAGACACGCTCGGCCACAACCGAAGAGCCTGACTGCGGGGGGAGGCCGAGCGCAGTTTCACGGATGATGGGGATTCCTACAACTGATGGATGAAATGGCCTGGTCTCTTGGCAACTAACTCGAGCCGGCTTAGTGGTTAGACGCTAACCCGCCCGAGGGACGCCAGCAAGGAGTATGGGTTGCCACCCTTGGGCCAGTGAGGTGCCCGGCTTGCCTCGCGCGCTTTTTCCCTCGGTCGGCCGGCGAGCTGAATGGTTATCCGTTAGTACTTTGGGGTACCCCGTACCCGTCTAGTCCCCAGGGCTGTGTACTTTGAGACGGGCGCAGGGCTCCCTCCGTGAAGACAGCCTAATCGTTCCCCACCAGACTGCTCCTCAGGATAAGCATCTGACATCCCACATCTTCACCCTTCCAAGCGGGTATAGACATCCAGGATATTTGGGGTCGATTGCTCGAACGTTACAAGGGAAGGCAGCTGTGGCATACATAGTGCATTAATGCATCAAACCGTGGCCGTCGTCTGGACCGATATTTTCGGTGACCTCCGGCCAGGCCTAAGCCAGCGCATATCGGCCGTGATTAAGGTTACCAACACCGGCGGGAGTTCGGTCTGTGTCAAGACATTTGTGGTCGGTGTTGAGGTCGGTGTAACTGCACTTTCCCGGCGGCCTTCCTTTTTGTCAAACCGACATGATGACTGCATGGTTGCAATTATCTGGTTGGTTCATCCGCAAGCTTGTAGCAAATAATAACTTCATCAGACGACTCAGAGTGACCTAGGGAGGCATCAGGAAGCGGCTTGTTGAGCGGAGTGGAGCTTAATCGAGCCGAACACCGACCGTGATTGGAGGAGACGGGGTCTTAGCGAGTGTAACCGCATGCACCAGGCCGATATTCATTAATGCTCTCCCACGGAATCCCCGACTGCGCGGAGGGGAAAGGGAAGGTTTGGTCGGCATCAGACCAAACTGACCCATTGGGGACTAGGCGCCCCATCCAACGAGAATATTACTGGACAATGACAAGACGGTCGCCCGCAGGAGTCTCAGTCGACGAGGGAGATGCCTTACCGTGGAGAGCAAATCCCTATATGGGCCGAGAAAAGAATACAAGGGAGCTAATGGAACTCTGCATATCAGTTAATAATAATGTGCTTGACCTGGGTACGATGTCGCTAGCCCAGCTATGCCACACCACAATACTTGAAGCATTCAAGCAAGGAGGACGCGATAGCAAACGCCCACGAGGCGGATAGAGCCGGGGAATGTCCTTACTGGAAGCGGTAAAGCGGTCGGTCCCTTTGTGCGGAGTCTCCAAAAACCCCGGATTCTGAATAATCAGCTCGATCTTCCCTCCATCGACGGAAAGGGTCCACGGGGACCAGATGACACACGACAGCCATGACACGGTAGCATACCTCGCAATCAGCTATTCCATCAAATGAGCAAAGAAATATGACGATTAGATTCAGCGCCCTCTGCCTACGATCCTTTCCGTTTTCCTTGATTTTGCCCACGCGAGAAGCCACGCGAACTGGCCGATGACGATGACTGCAACGCCCAGATCGCAGTTAGCCGCCCCGGAGGCTCACATTCCTGCCTGCCGTCCGCTATCCGCCCGCCTACGGAACGGACAATGTAATGTTAATCTACGCTTCAAAGAAAAGAAAATTACACGAAAATCACTGTAGGATTTATCTCAAGCTCCCAACAGTGGACAATAACCAAAAATATGAATTGCCAAGTACAAAACAGTATATCAATCTCGGCTGGCTCACATCCGAGCTGGTCCAACCGCGGGTTGAAACACTCCACGATGAAGCGACCGCCGTGCTCGGTTTCTCCAGAAACGGCTAATCCCCTGCGCATCCCGACTCCCATGACGGCATCGAGGAGACCTCCGACCGTTGGGTGGAAATTTGCTTACTCCCACCACCACTAGGCCTAGTATAGTGATACCTACCCGTGTACTCCTAGTCTTAAGTCTAGTACACGCCTGAGCAGACGCGGCACCCAATTCAGCCCCCCGCTGATCGCGACGCCCGCTCATCGTGGAGGAGGAGTAAGAAGGAGTCGGGCAACCCACCCACCACTCGTCATTTCATCTGAACTGGTCTCCAAGATGGTGTGAGATGGTGTGTGCCTGGGGGAGGCCATGTGGGGAACGGTCATTCCTCCGTTGGTTGTAAGAGCCAATGGATCTTCCTGGACGATGGGTCCGGGGAGGGACCTCTTTCAGCAAGTGCTCTCGGACGCAGAATACTGTACTGTGTCTGTAGAGAAATAATATCAGTCTCTGGATCCGGAGAGTGGCAGCTGTGGGGATAACTTCCCCTCCAGGCTTCTGTTTCTGTGGCTCAGGCCAATCAGCTGCAGGATTCGAGAAGCAGCTTCCTGATCGATTGCAGTCCCTCCAGGTCATCCTGAGCCAATCCCATCTTTTCGTTTGTCTCATCCAGTGGGTTTCTCTGCTTTCCAAAAGTCAAATCGCATGGTACTTGTGTGCTCTGGGTGGTGTACTAGTAGTGACGGAGTACCAACGTCCCTCCTACGACTAACCACTAGTAGTAGTATCCCTCACTGAACCTAGCTAGTAATTGCACGGATGCTCTCGACTGGCCTGACTTCTCCCGAATGGTAATATTATTACTTACATTTCAAGCTCTCCACCACCCAATCGGTCATTAGAAACCTACCGTTGCGACAAGTCGAGTCTCTTGAGACTCCAGCGCTATTTAAAACCCCCCGTCCCCTTCCCCTCGTGCAACCTACTGGTTGATCTCTCTTCTTTTCTCAATTTCTTCCCTTCCATTTCACTTTCCTTCCGCCAGCGCATACATACTCCTTCCAGCCAATGACTGTGCCTCCCTGACTACTGATCACTCGTGTTGTGCGGTGTTGGCTTCTTTCAACTACTTCCAACTACACAGTTCCTGTCTCGACCGAATACAGTAACTCGGGCTTAATAATTCCATAGAGAGTGCGAAAGTCTGTCTTTCCAAGATGGCGCGGTCATACTTGGGCCTCACAGGAGGCAAGCTGCAAATCGCTATCAGTGTCATCGCTGGTATGGATTTCTTGCTGTTCGGTTACGATCAAGGTGTCACTGGCGGTCTCTTGACCCTCGATTCGTTCATAAAATATTTCCCAAGTATCGCGACCAACGGTGAATACTATGAGAGCTTGACTCGCGCGCAACAAAGTACCCAGTCGACTCGCCAAGGTAAGTGCACCATCTTGTGTGATATGCTCCAATCACTGGTCTAGCCCGCGGGCTGATCTTTGTTTTTGTCAAGGTGTCGTCGTCGCTGCGTACAATTTGGGTTGCTTTGCTGGATCAATTCCCACAATCTGGATTGGTAATATGCTCGGTCGACGCAAGACGATCTTCGTGGGTTCGTTTATTATGTGTATCGGAGCTTTGCTGCAATGTACCTCCTACCAACTCGGGCAATTCATCGTTGGACGCTTGGTTACTGGTTTCGGTAGGTGCAACGAGTTCATGAATATCCAACTCGTGAGTTCTGCAACGCAGCGATACTAATACCGTCGGTCAATAGGAAATGGCATGAACACCTCTACCGTGCCCACCTGGCAGTCAGAGTGCTGTAAATCCAACCATCGCGGAATGCTAGTCATGATCGAAGGTGCCATGATCACCTGCGGTATCACCATCAGTTACTGGATTGATTTCGGTCTACTATTCGCCGATCCGAATGAGGTGGCATGGCGATTTCCGCTGGCCTTCCAGATTTTCTTCGCCCTCATTATCCTGGTTTTCGTTTTGCCCCTTCCTGAGTCGCCCCGTTGGCTGATCCTTAAGGGCCGCGAGGACGAAGCAAGGACTGTCCTGCGGTCACTCTTGGGCGACGCTGACGAGACTTTTATTGAGACGGAATTCACAGCCATCAAGGCTACGGTCTTGGAGATGGCCAAGGGTTCGTTCCGTGACATGTTCACTATGACCGAGGACCGCCACTTCCACCGTGTGGTCTTAGCCTACGTCAACCAAATGTTCCAACAGATTTCGGGAATCAACCTGATTACATACTACATCCCCGTTGTGCTGGAGAACCAGCTGGGTATGACCCTCGAAAATTCCCGCTTGATCTCAGCCTGCAACGGAACGGAATACTTCCTCGCTTCATGGATCGCCGTGTTTACCATTGAGCAGTTTGGTCGCCGGACACTGATGCTTTTTGGCGCCGCGGGAATGTCGATATCTATGGTCATCCTTGCCGTCACTGCTAGTATCGGTAGCAACGGAGCCAATATCGCTTGTATCGTCTTCTTATTCGTATTCAACACGTTCTTCGCCATTGGCTGGCTGGGTATGACCTGGCTGTATCCGGCTGAAGTCGTGCCGCTGCGGATTCGTGCTCCGGCCAACGCGCTGGCGACGTCATCTAACTGGATCTTCAATTTCCTGGTGGTCATGATCACGCCTGTGGCTTTTGACAACATTGGTTACCAGACCTACATCATCTTTGCGGTTATGTAAGTTCCTCTTTATCCCCGTTTATTCCCCTTTTGCTGTCATCATCGGTTCTAACCTTTGAACAGCAACGCCTTTATCTTCCCAGTGGTGCTCTTCTTCTACCCGGAGACGGCCCGTCGATCCCTGGAGGAAATGGACCGCATTTTCCGCAAAACGACCAGTGTCTTCAACGTTGTCAAGGTTGCCAACGAGGAGCCTCACATGTACGGCAAGCATGGTGAGCTCCTGCGTACGCTCGATGACGTGGAAGACGATGCTGTCCGTCGCGCCAGCGTGCTGAGCCACCGGGCAAAGGATATGGAGAAGGACAGTGACGAAAACACCAACAGCGTGAAGGCATAAGCATACACGACTGTGCTTTTTTCTTCGTCCGAACTCTCAAGGACTATAATGATTTAGTGATTCAAGCATGGGCCGTGCGGCCCTAATTGCTGAGCTTTGTTTATACCCCGACTATTTCCGTGTATTTAGACCGAGAAACATGCTAGTTTTGATCTTCATGCTTAACTTAGATTAAGTCTTGCTCGATGAATATTACCCAGTCCGGTCAGTAAGATGTTACATCCGATATAGCTCATGATGAGCAGCCCCTTGCGTGAGGTATGCATCGATACTGCACGGTCGTGCAGCTAAGATGAATGGATGTCATTGTGGACCCTCCAAAGAAAGGAGCTTATCTTCAGCACCATAATGGAACGGTCCAGGCTTCCGTAATGAACTGGTCTAGAACGTTTGTTGCTCTACTAAAACTGAGCCCGTCTATAGGGGAGCTTGCAATATCCTGCGCAGCCTGAGGCAACAGCAAGTATCGTAAGAGAATAAAACCAGATCAGGTGACAACAATAAGAAGCAATGGATACCTGCTCCGGCAGCTTCCTCAAGAGTATAGTCAGCCTTCATGCCAACACATTACCCGGTTTGATAGACTCTAATCCATCCTTCGACCACCATTCTGATCCAGATATGGTTTCATGGTGAGTGGATTGGGACGCATTGCCCTTCTCTATTAAGATGTACAACGAGTGTTCCAATACTTGGTGAGTGAGTCTGATTTCACCGTGGTTCGCTATCTGGACATATAATATTGTACTCATCTTGCACTTCTCTCGTTCGTGGGCTATCGATAGGCTCTCAATCTCAGGGTGCCTCCACTGATTGACTGTATCTACTGCTCAATATCCTGCATATTGATGATAGTGCCTCGGTCATCACTCGTCCGCTATGAACCTGTACGACAAAGCTTTTGATGATACACAAATAGTATGGATTCAGAAGAGAATTGGCCCTCGTTCGATAGCAAGGTGACACAAGTCGTTCGATAACCGAATTTTTCTTTCTTTCATCGGATGGCATACATAAGCATAGCATGTTATACAGGCAGTCGCGCAAACCTTGTTTGCTAGACTGTTTATATGTGCTTGCTAGCTCCTGGCTTGGAGAATAACAGGAAAATGCAGTGAAACCCAATCGTGCAATTTTCTTTTTCATCCGTTCTGCATTTCTGGGATAGCAGTACTCTTTTCCCTAAGATCAACTGCAACAGCAGAGCGACGATTGATGGGCTAACGATTAGCTGGCCTAGCTCCAGGCGCAAACAAGGTGCAGGATCCGTCAGGTTCGCTGGCCGGGTTAGTGATGGTTCCCTGCATCCATGGGAAGGGGCAGCCGCTCCAGGAAGATAAGCTTTTCTCGTCTAGACGGAGAGGATACTGTGCCAATTCTTTCTAACTCCCTTCGTTTTATACAGAGCTACAAAAGGGTACGAGCCGGTCACTATCTTGAGGGGAGCCAAGCTTAGGACTGGATAGAAATTAAGTGCGCGACTTCTAGTGTCGTCGGATTACGGTTCCCCGTTTCAGGCCCGTTCATCTGCTGCCCATGACTGGGTGGAGCCTATCGGTGCCCGTTTGTCTGCTCGGTCTCACCGAGGTCCAGATGTCAGAAAATGTGGAAGAGTGCCGTCTAGACTTCTATCAACTGAAGGAGATCAGGAAAGAAACGATGGATAAGCCCAGAAGATTGGCTCACCGGGCCATGGATTCAGTCACCGACCGGTGCAACAGAAAGCTGCAGATCGAACGGCAACCTCAATGACACTGCAGGATGCAGGCCTCTTTGCCGGACGAATGGAAATCACCGACATCGGATTGAAGCTTTTTTAACTTTTAGTGTTGAGCGACACCGTTGAATTTACTCAGTTGGGAGTAGGTATAATTTGAATTCTCAATCTGGGGGGAAATAGTGACTCATTGCGGACTGAAGGAGATTGTTGGTTAACTAAAACTTGTTGAGCACATCAACCGCGAAAGTGGATTCGTCCGACCGTCGGCTGGCAAATCCTCCTGGTGCTGCTCTGGAACCTCTGGATTCGTTCCATGGCAAT